GAAGAGTAGAGGGTTCGTTTGGACCGAGGAATGTCAACGGTCTTTTGAGGGGTTAAAAGCATATCTCCTCTCCCCACTAGTGCTTTCGAAGCCAGAGCCCGGAGAGACCTTATTCCTATACTTAGGAATCTCTCCTCGAGCTGTGAGCTCGGTGCTTGTGAGGGAGGAGGAGGGCGCACAGCGACCTGTGTACTATGTGCCCCGAGTGCTGCGAGGGGCGGAGTTGAGATATACCAACATGGAGAAGACCATCTTTGCGGTGGTGTGTACGGTGAAAAAGCTCACCCCATATTTTCAAACCCATCCGGTCCATGTGTTATCACAAATTCCCATCGGAACACTTCTTCGAAGCCCAAATGCCCCGTCACGGGTCAGCAAGTGGGGGGTGTTCCTGGGATCCTTTCATATAGAGTTCAAGCCGCGACCGGCGATAAAGGGGCAGGCATTAGCAGATTTCGTGGTAGAATGCACTGCGAGAGAGGTAGAATCTAGTGGAAAAGAACCCGAGGGGAATTGGTGGACCGTGTACACCGATGGGTCGTCCGCGACTGATGCTTCGGGGGGAGGTGTCGTGGCGATATCTCCGGAAGGGTTCAAGGAATACTACTCCGTGAGATTCCGGTTTAAAGTCTCGAACAATGAGGCTGAATATGAGGCACTGCTTTGCGGCTTGAGGTTGGAAGCCTCATTAAAAGCTGAGCGAATCCAAGTCCGGTGCGATTCCAAGCTAGTGGTAGGCCACGTCATTGGAGAATTTGAGGCCAAGGATGAACGAATGAAGAAGTATAGAGACACTGCCCTGGAGTTGCTTAAAGCATTCGGGGCGTACCGGATAGAGCAGGTTCCTCGGGAAGAGAACGCTGAGGCAGATATCTTGTCAAAGCTTGGTCCGGATTCCCCGGATCATATTAAGGCAATGACCTAGGAAGAAGAGTTGCTCGAGCCAAGCATCGGTCTCGGACAAGTGCTGATCATCACACTTAAAGAGGAGCCGGATTGGATTGATGAGATTACCATGTACATCCTTGACGGGTTGCTACCTATCGACCCAATCGCGGCAAAGGTGGTGAAGCGACGTGCACCCAGCTACACGCTGGAGTGCGGTCGGCTGTATAAGCGATCGTACAATGGTACATTGTTGAGGTGCTTAAGAGCGGGCGAGACACAAAAGTTAATGGAGGAAATCCATGAGGGAATATGTTCAGCACATCAGGGAGCCTTCACGATGTCCCGAAAGGTGACCCTACAAGGATACTTTTGGCCAACGATTATCAGAGATTGCGCAGAGTACGTGCGCAAATGCAAGGTTTGCCAGGAATTCCAGAGGATGCCAGGGCGACCGGCGACGAATTATACCCCGATAAGCACAACGATTCCTTTTGCCCGGTGGGGCATCGATCTGGTCGGTATTTTGCCTCAGGGGACAGGGAACAACACATACCTGGTGGTCGCGATTGACTACTTCACCAAGTGGGTCGAAGCCGCCCCCGTGCCAACCATCACTGTGGAACAGATGACGAAGTTCGTTTCCAAGCAAATCTTGTGCCGATTTGGGGTGCCCCAGCAGATCATCACTGACAACAGAACCCAATTCGAGGCCGGAGGGTTCAATGAGTTTCTACAGAGCTGGGGCATAAAACACAGCTATGCAGCGGTCGGGTACCCCCAAACCAATGGGCAGGTTGAGAACACCAATCGTACCATCATGGACGGCCTCAAGAAGAAGATTATGGAATGCAAAAGTGCCTGGGTGGAAAGAGTGCCCTATATTTTGTGGACCTACAGAACTACCCCAAGGAAGGCAACATGTGAAACTCCTTTCTCGCTCACATATGGATTTGAAGCAAGGGCTCCAGCGGAGACCTCGTTGTTAAGTTATAGAGTAGAGACGTTTGATGCTCAAGGAAATGAGGAGAACCTGAGGGCAGAGCTGCACCTCATTGATGAGCGAAGGGAAAGGGCATATATGCGGGCAGAAAACTACCGCCGGCAGGTCAAGTCATATCACGACCAGCGGGTGCGACCAAGGCAGTTCAAGGTGGGCGACTGGGTCCTTCGGAAGAGGGAGGTCAGCCGGCCGACCGATGGAGGGAAGTTT